CTAGCGTGCTCACCTCCCCACAGATTTTGGTGTCATCAGCGAATTTAAACAGGTTACTTTCCACCCCATCATCCAGATCGCTGATGAAGAAATTGAACAGCGCAAGCCCCAGGACCGAGCCCTGGGGGACTCCGCTACCCACCTCCCCCCAGGTCGAGTATGACCCGTCCACCACCACCCTCTGAGTGCGACCCTTCAGCCAATCTGCAATCCATCTGACTGTGTAGGCATCTATGCCACAGATTCTTCACGTATCAGGAATATTGGCTACTTGTATGTGCCACAGAGGTTTACTTCAATTTAATCCTCCTGTGGCAGGAGTCCTACTCTCGGAGCCCCTCTGGAAGTGTGGCTCCGCCCTCCTGCAATGGGTCAACTGCCTGCTTACTTTCCTGCCACGCCTTGATCTTACTTTTGATTAATAGATGATTGGAATCAGCGGGAGGCTGCCCATTTTTATGTGCCCCGATGACAGGGGGCGCTGCCTGCAGCTCCTTTTCCTCCCCTATACCGCAGCCCAAGCCTCACAGATGGTGCTAGTGTGATCTGACTTGGGCCCTGTTATTATGTCTCGCCCCTTCATTTGCTTCTCGGGGCTCCTCGTTGCCCCCTAACTCCAGAGCTCCTCACTGCCCCTCCTCACTCTCGGGCTCCTCGCTGCCCCTCCTCACTCTCAGGGCTCCTCGCCGCCCCCTAACTCTGGGGCTCCTCACTGCCCCTCCTTACTCTTGGGGCTCCTATCGATGTGCTCGCCCTCTCCGGGGCTTCTATCAGTGCGCTCACCCTCTCCGGGGCTTCTATCAGTGCGCTCACCCTCCCTGGGGCTCTTATTCCTGTACGCCCTCGCTGGGGCTTCTATTCTTGTGCGCCCACCCTGGGGCTTAACGCGAGCACCCTCTGGGCTTATTGCCGGTGCCCCCACTGGTGCTCCTCACAATTGGGGCTCAGGTGGCCTTAGCCATACCTGGCCCCCAGACCACCTTCTTGGGTCTATAATCCCTTTCCGGCTCAGGCGGCCTCGGCCTTACCTGGCCCTAGATCCTGACTGCTGTGCCCTCTCTGGCACCAGAAACCCCCACGCTACTGAGGAGCTCCTATGAGGCCTCCTCCAACCCCTACAGCCTCACCCGGTCCTCCAGTGTAATAACAAACAACAGAAAACTCAAGCCCCTGGGCTACAACACGAACTCCAAGCCATCTGGCTAAAACACAATTTCTAAGCCCTCTGGCTACCCATCGTTCAAAAACCTACCAGGGCTTGCTCCACCCAGTCCTCAACCGAAGCTGTTCAGGCCATCTAGCTTCTACTCCCACAGAGCTCTCTCTTCCTCAGCTGCCAGAGGGGAACTGCCTGCTTGGCCTCAGCCTAGGCTGTTTATATAGGCCAGGCCCTGCCCCCTTCTGGTCAGCTGACCCGACTACGGTTGCCCCGGCAACCGGCACCTGTCCCTCTTTCTAGGAGCAACGCACTTCAGTGTCCTGCGACACCTCCCTAAAGTGAAGCAATGGGTTTTTAAAAACACCACTTCAATTTAGGGAGAATTAAATTGAAATAACGCCCCCTGTGGTGTGTATAAAAGTGTCAAGCCCGATCCTTACCTGCCAGTGTGGTGGGGAGGGGCGAGCTTCCAGCAGAACAAGGGGTCCATGAGCTGCCGGGGGGGGCAAGGCTGGTGCTTTCCTCCGCAGTGGCACCCCGCAGGCAGCACCCGGCTGCAGGCACCCTGCACAGGTGGTTCAAGGGGGCACCACAGCCATGGAGGGACGCACTGCCTCCTCCCGCCCCCCATACAGTTGCAGAGGGAAGCACCAGGCCACTGCAGAGCTCAGGCAGGAATGTAGGCTCCAGGGTGTAGGAAAAAAAAAAAAAAAAATCATGTTCACCGCTTTTTTTTTTCTTTAGTAGAGCTTGCCTGCACAGGCTACCTGCACAGCTCCTGAGCTGCACGGGGCCAGGTACTTCCCTCCACGGCTGTTGCACTGTGTTACGTGGAAAACTAAAACACCTCAAAGGTGTTTTATTTTGCTACATCCCAAAATCATTTAAAGTGCAATATGCCGTCGACAGTGTAAACAGCAATGCCATTAAAGCAGTGCAAAAGGACATTTAAGCTGCTTTAAAGGCCAATGTTGTGGCGTGTACAAAGGCCCATTATATAAGAATCCCAGCTAACTCATTACATATTTCACTGGTAGCAGTTAAGTATTAACACTGACAAAATCAGTGTTGAGTCACGGAGAACCATGCATCCTGCTTTTTACTAGTATAATGTTAAGACAATATTATTGTATATGTTATATATTAATAATGTATTTAGTATAATATTTCAGTAACTTATATACTAATATTTTCTGGTTGTTGTAGCAAAACTAGAACTTGGGATTGAGTCATTTTAGTTCCCAGGTTTACTAAGAAAGAGAAAGAAATTGCCTGTAAATGAATCCCTTCATGCCAAACTGTAACTGGATGTGACAATGTATATATGATATGTTCAAGAACAGAAAATGGACAGTTCAATAATTTCACTTCTTCAGTGTTACACATGTAGTAGCAAACAATGCAGGTATGTAAAGGTGTTCATATGTAGTACTACAAAGTGTCTTGGCACTACAAAGTGACCCAGGACCCCTCAAAGGGGTCCCAGAGTGATGCAACAACCCAGTTTGTGAACTCCTGATATAAACATTTGCAAGTCATGCAATTTTTTAACTGCCATTAATGAGAAAAGAGAGACTAGGAATATTAACTTTATCCTCTGAATCATTATTTCTATATATCTACTCTGTTCCAGAATTCACAAACAAAGAATATAAAAGTTCCCTTTTCATAACAAACTCTTCCTCAGCATCTTTCTACTCTGTTACATTAGATACATATCTTAAAGCTTGAAAATATGGAAACGAGACAAAGTTATGGCTGAAAAAGAATTGACAGATTTTGTTCTAGGACACTGAAAGAACAAGTATGGATAATCTGACACAAGTGGTTTCATCTTTTAGCAGGATATGCAACCTCAAAGGGCATGTCTACACTATGTTGGATGGTGCTAGGAAGCACTGCCATGAAAGCATGCCACATCCACATGTTCCTGCTCCCAAAATTCTCCACAGCAATAAGAGATCATGTAGTCACCATTAACATGGCACTTAGCATACCAAGAACTGCTCTCATGAGCAAATCCAAAGCCTGAAAAGGGCACCAGGCATGCCCTGAGCACATGCCAAAAAGCAGCTATGTGCTATTTTTTCAGTATTTGGCCTCATGTAGAGCAGTAGTGAACCATGTTTTTACATGGTACGGTCCAACATTGTGTTGACATGTCCACTCCAATATCTGTGGAGGCACCTCATACATAGCTAGCTGATTCTTACAAAATGTGTGATAACCCTTTTTTGTTGAGTGAAAGTCAGTTAAAATCATAGCTCAGCTCATCATGATCCATCAAATAAAGAAAATCCTGAACAAAGATTGAAGAATAGCTTTCTATAGAACACTACCTTAATCTGCGTAAGCCAAGATAATGAAAGTCTAGTCTGTAAGATTAAGGTGTTTTTCCACTGCTATAATTTTCATGTGCGAACCATACCATTCATCATATATCTTAAATTTTAGCCAACTTGTACACATTACCAGCATTCAGGAAACGAGAATTCTTCTATGGGATTCTCTATGGGAATAGATAAAATTCTCATCTATTCTTTATAAGGGATATTAAACTGACAATAGGCCCCCTACCTTCTTGAAGTCCCTTCAAAAACACCAAAGCAGTTGTATTACTTTCAAGAAGCTTAGAATATCTAGGCTGTTTGTGAATTATTATTATTATTATTTTTAATAAGTAAGAAATAAACCTAGCCTCAGAACCACAGAATTAACAAGGAGTTTGGCCAAGCAGTGCTGGTCATTGTGCTGAGTTATCCATTTCTTTACCCTTTGGTTATACAATATGAAATGGTCATATTGTAAGACCTCCAGAGACAGAGACTCTGCACTGATTTACTTTTTGTGTAGCCATTTACATGAGGCTTGCTCTTCCTGTTTCTGGCTACTTCCCAAATAGCAATTATATTAAAAAGCAAACACATACATTCCAGGCCCCTATTGCCACTCCAAAGCCCATCTGGGTAATAACTAAATGTCTGAGGGATTTATGACTCCACTCATAGAAACCATGATCCTATTTGAGGTTGCAACCCCAAGTTTAGAAGCCATTGCTTTAATAGTACAGAGCAAAACTGTTCAGGGGATATTCTGCATCAAAGGCACGCTCCTATATTTCTGGTCAATGCTGCTGTCTGTCGATTAGACATGCTGATTCAGGAGGACCTCTTCCTTCTGAGGAGCTAGATCCCAATAAGGTATCTTCCAGCTTAGCAACTAAACCACAATATGACAGAGGTTATGCTAAATCTGACCATTGAAGGAACAGAGTGCTAGACATTCTCCCCCTCCCTTCCTCCCCTCCCACCCCCACCAGAATAGGATATGCCTCTACAAGCACATGAAGCTGCCGACTGGGAGAGTCCTTAGATTCTGCAGGAAGGAATATGGTCTAACCTCCAGAACTGTACAAAGCCATCCACTGAATGGCAGAGTATATGCTTCTCTGGGTAGAACAGTATGTTTTCCTGAGCCAGATGAATACTTTGGAAACAAGTGCAAGCTAAGTCTTTAGATTTCTAGCACTTGGAATAGGATCTGGGCCTTAGAATACAAGATACAGCAACTTTAATTTTATGCATACACAGAAATACAATGAAGTAGCTACTCCGGACTTGAAATTAAACTATTATATAGAAGTCACTGCAATTATTAACTACAGAACTAAGTCGTAGTATTATACAATATCTCTGCTGAATACCCAAACATAATGCATTGCATTATTAAAATATACTTTAAAATTGTCCAAATCTATTTCTTCTTCAGCTCTAAAGTTTACAAATGCATTTTTGACACAAAGAATGAACTTGCCAAAAGGGAAAAAGAAAAATCAACCTACCTTTCTCCTTGTTTCCCACCACTTTTAGGGTTGACAAAAACCAGAAGTGGATGAGTGCCTGGAACTGGAGTGATCTAAAAGAACAAACAACACAGCCACTCATCAATGTTGAATGCTGCATTTGATTTATCTTACACTAGACAGAAAACAGCAAGTTGTGCTCCTGTAACTGTAATCCAGCTGGAAATAATTCCACAAATTGCAATAATCCCCTCTTGGTTAATTTGCTACAAATTATAAATGACATTTATTATTTCAATTGATGCCAGCTCTCTGGCATACTGCTGTGCTGCCATTTTAACCTTAAATTCCATTTAAATAAGTACAGCATTGGAACATATGAGTTATATTCATCAGGAAAGGAAGTGCACATCAGATGATGCAAGAAATTAATAATTTTGAGCCTGACACACTAAGTAATCTCCATATAAAAAAACAAGTAAGGAAATACACATTCTGAGGGAAAATAAAATTATGCTTTAAAAATAGCACTGTATTTCATTATAGATTTTGAGCCAAGCCTCTAAGTCTGTGAGCATAATTTTATGCACAAACAAAATTGTGTCTGAACTACATGAAATCTGGAACTTGAAGAGAATTTCACAAACTGAACAATGCTCTTTTTTTCAAAATTTTTGAAATGTCACACAACCCTTATATTTATGATGACATAAAATCATACAGGTTTAATTTTTTAATGTAGCAGTCAAAAACAAGTACCAGTAGTCCCTTCAAATAACCCAGAAGGAAAAGAAGGAGCTGAAGGAGGAGTGACTAAAGGAAGAGAACAAGAAAATAAGGGAGAAATGCTGATATTGGAGAAGAGAGTATGCTTCCGACCCATTCATCTTTCCTCAACTGGTTTTCTAATATATTACATATTGACTTCAGTTTTTAGTTTGGCAGCAGAACTACTACTACCTTGCTGGACAATATAATCACTCTGCACTGTCAGATATTATGGGACAGATCCTCAGTTGTTCTGAATTTTTTTTATCTTCATTTACTTCAAGATATTTCAGAAAAATTAAATTAGCTAACATTTTGTTTCTATAAACTTTTAAACTCATAAAACAGTAGTTTTGTACCAGGGGTGATCAAAACATGGCTCATGAGCTGTGTGCAATTTAAAGGCAGCACTTGAAGAATAGTAGTAGTTAAATAAAAACACCTTTCCTCACTTACCACTTCACTTATTCTTTCCTATTTTTTATTATTTTCTTCAGTTTTTGCTTATTACTTATTTTAAGAAGACATTTAATGATGAATAATCATTTCAGTCCAGGTGTTAGATGCAGATCACTGACTCTAGAACAGTGGTCTCCAACCTTTTTATGGTGAAGACCACTTTTTGGCACCCCAAGATCTACCACCCGCCCCCAGCCTGTCCGACCCCGCTCCCTGTCCCTGCCACCCACCTCCCGGGCAAGCTGCCTGGGCTCTGACCCCACTTACTCAGCCCACCCCCGGTGGCAGGGGGCGTGGCTTAGCCCAGCCATGTGCGTCCTGCCATTCTGGATCATGGAGCTTCTGACAGGCTGAGATTGACTGTCAGAAGCTCCACAATTGACCAGTTGATCGAGATTGACTAGTTGGTGACCACTGCTCTAGAACACGCATGTCTTGAAATTAGGCTGCTTATGGATCAGCATTTGCCCAGAGGAGGCATTACATTAGTTTGACCCCGCTTGCCCAACGTCTATATAGCCTGGGTGCTTCAGTGCAGCTTTTCTGGTGATTTTATCTAATAGTTCATTGAATCACCTTCAGATAAAGTGCCAAGAAGCCCCACTGAAGCACACAATCTATACAGGCACTGCAGAGCCAGTCAAACTAATGCAGTCTTTTCTGATAAAGCATGGTTTGGTTTTTTTTCACGTCTGTCAACAGTCTGTGTCCTGCAGTTCTTAGCTGTGCCAAGATTTTGATCTGCAGCTAGAGGGCTTAGAAAGTTTTCCAAGTACTATTTTCAACATTAATTTATGCATACATTACATATAAAAATATTTAAAAAGATGTCAGCATTGCAAATCTAATACCCACAAGTTAGAAAAACCTAGAACTGATGTTATCCCTGTCCTCACTTTGTGTTTGTTGCCTCAGTAATCTCTGGAATAACTGTAAACTAAGTGCTGCTCAGTCTCTGCAACCCTGAGCTGGAAAATATTCAGTACAGATAAAATCCTTGGAAAAATTATCTACCAAGTTCTTGTAAGTTTCTACTGGGCAACCTAGAGAGGTTTACAGACTTGCCAGACTGACAGAGACAACAAAATGCACATATATGAAAAAAAGAAAACCATTCTGACAACTTTCAAGCCCTTGTCCCCAAAGCACGGAGATGGTAATGCTTCTCAACAAAATGGTTGCATATATATTTTTACCACTGGTAAAATAAAATATTTATCTTTAATCTTATTTTCTTAAATGACAGACTCTTTTCAGCTGAAATGTCAAAAAACGTGGTATCGAGACACATCAGCCATGGAAATTTTCGGCACAAATGGTTAAAGTGTGGTATATTTATAAGCAACATTGTCTTCCAAATGAAAATTTTGAGCAATTTGAGCTAAATGCAGTCATATCAGCTCCACCGATAATTATGTTTGCATTTGGTCTGATTCTGGTGTAATCTATAACAGTGTAAAACAGGAATAATTCCAATGATATCAGTGGAGCTGCACAAGTGCAGAACTGATGCAGCATCAGAATCAGATCCAATATATGCACATACATTAGGCACTGTATGTTTGAACATACATTCTGCAGTTTGTTATTATATATCAATGATTGTCATATATTTAATTCTTATCTACAGTTTTAATCAATTTTAGTTATTTAGTCCAATTCCCATGATGTTTGTTCCCATGAGCTAAATGTAAACCAATGGTACTGATTGTGACAAAGATGGACTACCTATTGAAGTCCCTTAGGACTCAGGTTAATTAATGAGACTCTTCCTAAGGTTATACATGATCTATTACTTCCTCTAATTAGAAATAATAATCCTGATCATTATGCTGGTTAGCTAGAAAGAAGTAAGATGAATGTGCTTAACTATGATTAATAGTCTTCACTAAGTAGCGCAGATCCCCACTGCCACTTAGTTATCTGCACACACTTCTGCAACTCGATGTTTTGTCTTGATACTTTTCTTAACACAAAAAAATGTATAGATGAAATTATTTCCCATTTCCAGTTTTTTATTTCAAAACATAACCACATTATTGCAGACAGAACTTCTAGAACTAGTTAAAAAAAGTCTAGTCATTCCTATTTCACTCCATTCTGGAAAAAAATAAGGTCCCTTTCAATTAATTTCTTATAGCTTTTCTAAATGACTTTTCTAAATAATGTAGACATTTCTAGATAATTCAAAATGCAACCTGAGATTTAGACTAATTTATTGAACATTTTTATGCCTTAATTCAATTTAATTTTATATAAGGACAGCCTTCCTGAAGTCACAGAAGGGATCACTTACATTATTTGGTCCCAATGCTGCAAAAGAAGTTTGGCCATTAGTTTCAGTAGGAGCAGATCAATTATAACTAAGTTTCCCTCATCTTTAAAACACAAACTATTCTGGCAATTTCAAAGGTATGTTGTGAAAAAAATTTATTTTGTGTTTATATAACATTCCAGAAATATAAAGACAGCAAATAAGTACCAATTATCATCGCCATTAAGTTTTCTGATCCACATACTTGTTTACAAAACTAAACTCCCGAAACACCTGTTTTAAGCTAAATTGCTGAAGGTGATTTCTATATTTTAAAGGGCAAAAGTAGCATAATAAAAAATAAAAATCTTGTGTTGGATTACTGTTGATCCAACAAGATATAAGTATCTACCTTCCTGTGTAATTAAAGTAGCATAAATACAACATTAACCTTAATTTTCCAGCTACAAAACATCAGCATCAGAAAATCTTATGCTACACAGAAAACTAAGGGTTTTGCCAAACAAAACATGTAGGGCATTTTTACACATATTCTGGGATGTGGTGCCAGCCACCCTAAATAGTGAGCCACACTAATTAAAAGCACCCACATGTCAGATGTATCAGCATCCCTGCACTGAAAAAATGGTGGAGGGTGTTTTGAACTAAAGCTCATTGAACGTGTTTTATTAGAAAGAGCCCCATCACCATTTTTTCAGCATGCAGACATTGATACACATGATGTGGAAGCCTGTTGCAGCATGTCAATTTCTGTGCTCCAGAAGACTCGATCAATTGAGTCTGCTCTGACTTGCTGAATTTCCATGTGTGGTTCGGAAAAGCTACACATGCATGACACAAACCTAGAGCCAAGTTAGTCCTTCCCCATCAGTGGCAAACAACAATCACAAACAACAATCACACCTGAAGACCTTGTCCATCTATTGTAACAGAGTTTGCTCTTTGCATTTTGTTCCGTTCTCCCAACTTGTTCATTTGCTGACGGCAACTCTTTTCTCTTTTCACAGTTGCCTGCCGCTCCTAGGGGAAAAAGTGGGGAAAAAGAGCACTTTAACATAGGGTGTGATGGAATGCTACCATAGCTGGAAGTCACCCCAAACATTAAATTTTCCATTCAAAATAAAGGTCAAATCCTACTTTAATGAAAATGAGACCTAGCTGCTACATGATTTTTGTCCACTTCACATGACATCTATTTACATGCCTAGATATATTTAGCTAGGCAGTAGATAGGTGACAACAATCCAGTCATAACAAAAATCAATGCAATGACGTGAAAGATGATGGAACTGCATATTATCCTTATGTAACAAACATTGGTTCTATAACATGGAAGATAATCATACAAAATCCTAAGTTATTAAAAGTTTCAAGGGCTAAAAGATGTTGTCCAGCCTGTCTAGGAGTTTTGGAAGACACTATTCATTATGTTTTAAAATGCCCTTTGTATAATGACATAAGGAGAAAGTATTTATCACCGTTCTTGCAAAAATTGACATACTTCTCAAACAGAGAGAAATTAATATGGCTCCTCCAGCAAACAGATCCATATTTAGTAAACTGTCTTGCAATTTTTGCTTACAAGGCTGAAGCAATCAGAGCTAAACATCCTTTATTGTTGATATGACCGATAAACTTTATCACTATATTTGTTTTTACTGTGTTAATCGTGGACCTATGCACAATATTTCTATAGATTCATGATCAAATTTATCACTATATTTGTACTTGATTATGTTAATTCTAGGAGTAGGAATAATGCTCTTATAATGACTGGCCCTATTTTATTCCTATATTTGCATTTCTGTTATTTTTGTTTAAATTTATATTATGGTTGTATGTCTGTTATGCTGCTTTCAGGAGTATGGTTTTCAACCTGAATCCTAAATTAATTTATTAATTAAGTCATGGAAAGAAAAGTTTAGGATAGATCAATATTTTCTGGAAGACTGGTTCTAACTTTGGACATACGTTGGACATCTTCAAGGGTACTTTTATTAGTTACGTACCAAAATATACCCATGGTAGAAGTCTGTCAATCAACTTACTATATTTAAAACACATATTTTTAACCTTTTTACAAAAAATATACTATTTTGTAATACAAACATAGTATAAAGAGAGTACAGTATGTTCCAAACTAATCTACACCAGGTTCATAAGAAGTTGGATAAATAGAACAACCAATGAGAATAAAATAAAGAAAATACTAATCTTCTTACCAGAAATATTGTGGCATTTAGATTTCCAACTATTTATCAGATCATCTCACAGATAATTAAAAATGAGGAAGAAATCAGGAGATACAAAAGTATCTCATTTATTTTCCTACGGATAACATGCACCCATCAATTCTTTTTCACAAATTCATACAATGTATTGTAAAATAATGATAGCTTAAAATCAGAGAGCCAATGTTGGCTGTGCTTCATTAACTTTACCTCCTTATTGATTTTATGCCATCCTTGCATTTTCCCAAATTTGGGGCTGCACAGGGGATGGCTTGGCTTTGGTACAAGCTGTGCTCTCGTTAGGCCTAGCTGCTTGTGATCTTTCCACTAGCCTGGGATTGCTGGACACAGTAGAAATCTGACCACATTTCCAATCATACCTATGAGGCACAGAACAGATCTGAAACTCTATTCTAACTGGATAGTCTCCCTACACTACAAGAATCCTCTAGAGGCCAATTAAGCTGGCATTCAGGATACTTTGTGCCACTAGCCATGTGCAACATATTGTATAATAATTCCAGAGGCTTGAAGATTACTGAAAGGGAAATGCATGACATAGGGAAAATTAATTTTAAAAGAGAATACATATTAAAAATAGGCTTATTCCTAATGTGTATTGTTAAAACTATTTTTTTTCATCATGCTGTTTCTCAGTGGAAAAGTATTTATACACTGAGGAAAGCTTTCTTAACAAAAGGGATGTTTACCACAATGACCAAACTTGCAGTTATTGATCATTCCTGAACTAGAAGCAGCAAGTGATGATTACTTCAAGCACAGTTGGGTTTTTGTCCCAGCATGAGACAGATAGCAGCACAACCCTTCAGTTGGCACTATGGCTGGCACTTCCTTTCCCTTCCTTCATTCAGTTTTTATTAGTTGTTTTCTAAGCTAGACTACTACTTGCCTAACTGAATATGAAAGCTTCCTAAGCAATCATGCTATAAAGTTTCTCCTTGCACAGGAAACAGAAAATTCCTAGAACTTAACAGAAATCAATCAATTTCTATATTATATCTGAACCATCCTACAGAATATAAAGGAAAAATGATAACCCTGCAATATAATTTTATAGGCTACTGTGGAAACCCATAGAATGGACATTATAACCCATTATGACAATAGTTTTTTACAGTAATTTCTACAGGTCTTTTGTACAATGAACAGCTCCAGAGAATTTAAGATATGCTTCAGAAATGGAGATGAAAAATGCCAGTAATGCCACCTGCAAGTCTAAAATATACAGAATGAAAACAACTTCTCTACCATAAGGTACCTATCTTCACTTTTCCAAATGTGAAAAGGCTCGCTCACATTGCTGATACAGAGTTGAAGGATGGAACCCTAAGGGGCTACATAACAAAGAGCCTAGGATGAATCTCCTTATTTTGACCTTGTGTATACATACATGGGGTATACTCAGCAGTCTGCCATTTATCTAAGGTGAATAAAGTATGCAATGTTGAAGTATAAGCAAAAGTGCCTTCTTTGTACTGTTTTCTAAGTCCGGTAAGAGATGTCCAGCTTCAGTGGCATGCTTCTGAGAATAGCAACAGGTCTTTGATGAGCACTGCACTAACTACAGTCAGGTTTAAAATGCATATGTATTTCTACCTAGGCCTATACCTTGATTATTTACTTATTTAATTTTAATAGAAAGAAAGATTTACAGTGTATGGGGCAAATATCTATTTTCAGATCCCCTCTCACTTGATATTTTGTAGACCTTCAACAAATTAAATCTAGGCAATAGTTATTTTTCTAATTAGAAATAGATACATTTATACTTCTAAGAGTTGGGATAGTACTATGGTATTTAAGGCTTAACCAGAAACTAAAGTGTCATTTTCTCAAAAGATAACATAATTTAATAAAATCACCTTTGGATAATAGTGTATAACTTTTAAATTAATATTGAGCCAAAGTTAACACTTACTGAAAATAAATGAAATGGCAAAATGCCAGCATTTATTTTCAAGGTGGTAAACATTATACTATGAACATGCTCTATTCAATGACTTTTTTCATTAAAGTGTACAAAATGACTCACAAATGGCTATAAATCATTTTTTTTTGATGGACGTGGCTGAAGTTGAGGGAAAATTGATACAAATTTTGAAAAGCTGTTGTACATTTTGATGGCTTAGGAAATCGATCTCTTCTGTGTGTTAATCATTTGTCAGGCTGATAACAATCCCAAACAAAACTTGTCAAACAAAAAGCGTCTTCTAATTCCATCCATTTTCTCACCTTTCATATCCCTATTTTCCACTTTCACTGTTCCCACTTCGTAGCCATTACCCACTGGTTGCTAGATTGGATGGAACTTATACCAGTGAATACTGTTCCAGGGGGTCACAGTTTGATACCAAGCAGCACTTTGTAAAAGGTGCTCCTACCCCCTAAAAACTGAAATAGCACATCTCAAGTGAAGATACAAAACACCACCACCACAAGTCAGCCCCAAAATGCACTGTATTGCAAGAGAAATGTTGCAATATTACAACCCTTTTATACGTGTTTATACATGGGCAGCTCTGTCTTACGCACCTCAGGAAGCAAAACTCCTACAGTGGGTAAAGTCTGTTGGGAAAAAAGAAGCTTCAGCTGTAAAGTTATAACAAATGGCAGGAAAAACCCTCTCTAGAAGGAATGTTAAGTTGAAGCCATTGGGTTGAACAAGTAATCAACAAATTAAGTATACTGCTTTATTTTTGCTTTATGACATCATTGAACAAAAATATTTTCTAACAGTTCTATGGCTACGACATCCCATAATTCATATTCCTAAGAGTGTGCAAGAGAACTGGTTACAGATTCAAAACAGTAAAAGAAATGAGAGTTCTGCTTTGAAATGAAGGAAGATGGCCTGAAATAGTCCAGATCCTTTTTTTTTTTTT